GCGTTGAGTGATTGCTCTTTTGTTTGGCCTTTAGGTTGTACTAGTTTATACGACATTCGTCTATTGGTTTTAGCAGAAAAACAACAGAAAGAAACAAAAGCGGCATACTTTTGCTCTTTTGTGCTTTCGATTCACATCCTTGGAAAAAGTGATCAAATTCCAAGGTTTTGATCCCTTTAACCCTTTTGGCCCACAACGTAACCTTTCAGATAGTCCATGCGTTTGTCAGTAACTTACAGCATCTACAACACCGTCCTCTAAAACAGACACATTATCCATTTGTGAATTGATCTGGACTCGCCCGCAGACACAAATACAAGAGTCAACCATCTAACACATCACCTAAATATCCGCTCTGATCCGGTCTTGATGTCAAATGCATAGCAATATGAGCAAATTAAAGTGTGGTGCTTACATAGTTCGATCATGATCAAAAAGTGGCACATGTTCATAGTTTTTATATGCGCTCGATCACAAAAGTTCCAGTACTGCAGTCCATGCAAAAAATAACAATACATTTTCCCTCCCACGTCGGTTGTTTTGCATTCTCTCCCACTCTGCCGCCAGCTCCTCCTCATTAGCCGCTTCCATCTCGGCCACCAAGCGCTTCAACATCCTAACACGGACGTCGCGCATAATCATTGCCCATTGGGATCCAACTCATCCATCATTATGGTCAACTTTTTGGTATCCTCTGGAGCGGCCGCGAGCTCAATCCTCCTCTCTTTAAGCCTGGTCTTCTTTTCTTCGAGGTTGATCTTCTTCTCGGCTGTGAGCTTAACCTTCATCCCTGTTTGTGTCATCATACGCCATCTCGCCCGGCTGAGGAATAGCGGCGAACAGAGAGCAGGCACCTAGTTGGTCTATGCCTGACGTTCGCAACTGGTCAAGCTGCGGCGTTGGCTAGTCCGCGAAATGAAGCAACGCCGCATTGATGCCGATGCAATGTGGCGCATACTCGACGGCGGCGGCCGGGGACTACCGCTGACGACCGGGCTTCTTGGCAGCATAGTAGTAGGGCGGCTGAAACTACTCCGGACAGGAAGATGTGTGAATGATGACGCCCCCCTCCCCCTGTCCTCGCCCTCCCCCTGCACCCTGTTCCTGCCCCAGCCTAGCGCTCTTCTTTCACCGGCTACTGCCTCCTCTTGAGCATTTGTGTTCCTTTTGAGGCGGCGGGCTTGGCGTGTCGCCGAGTCGATCTTGCTGGCGACCACCTTCTCTGGATCCTCCACCTTCGCCAGCTCCAGTAGCTCTTCATATAGGTTCATGCGGCGGCGGAAGGCGAAAAGTGCGAGAATTGGGGTGGAGGGCGGCGGCGATTGGAGTAGAGAGGGTGGGAAAAGTGAGGGTTTTGGCACGGAAAAAGTGCAGACTACTCCAAATGTGCAGGCTCTGACTTGGTTTTGGATCGGCCATGAGTGTCAGAGTCCTACGTGGCAGAGGTTCATACTCCCGCATAGCGCCCTTGGTCCGCGACCAATTTATGGGGGGAAAACACGCAGATGCGTCCGCGGACATATACGGGTCCACTTTGGATAGCAAAGTGCGTCCAGACAGCTGCAGGCTATTTAAGGATCCGTGTTGGAGATGCCCTTATCTGGTTTGCTAACAATGCTTTAAGTAAGGAAAAGATAGTTAGTCCATGTATGGCCCAATAGCTAATTCCAAATAAATCTCATGCTCATGTATGTCAAGAGGTAGATGTGCAATAATTAGCCCTCTTTGCTAGTGGAGGTGTAGTTTGACCTCTTTATATAGCGAAGTCTCGAGCGTTTTGAAGGCCAAGCTTTGTGGAGGCCAAAAAATGTAAAAAGAAATCAAATTGAAACTTTTCAGTTTCATTTTTTTTGAAAATTATACATGTATACAAGGATGTAATATGTATAAATTTCAAGATGAAATACCTTGAAATGCAAGCTACACAATTTTTTTATGGATTTTGAGAATGAACAGTGCATGTGCTAAAAAGCCACATATTTGTCTATTTTAGCTCTCGCTGGAGTATTTCTCATAAAAATTTAAACACATGTACATTTTCTCTCTAGGTACATGTGTATTCTTTTAAAAAAAATCTAACATAAAAATATGAATTTTGTATTTTTGAAATTCAGCCTTCATTTGGCATTTTCGAGTATCTCCACTTCACCGAGTGATGGGTACGAGGAGGGAAAGAGAACACCACCATATGTACGAGCTCGCCTGGCCGGGCTCGGGCCAGGACAAAGGGAGTCACCAAACATCTGTACAGTAAGATTCTGTACTCCATCTGAACCTAATTTCGCTAAAATCCTTTCTGGATTAACATGGCAATTGGCTCGGCAGTTGGAGCTCTCATATATAAATCCCAAGAGACGACGGCCAGGGGACACACATTACACACACACACACACACACACACACACACACACACACACACACACACACACTGACAGCAGGAGCGAGAGAGGGGTGTGCAACACTACGCTCTGCCTGCTTGTACACGTACACGACCACCATCTCTAGTTGAGCAGGTGCTTCAGCAGACACGCCAGGACAGTGTTCCCTCCCGTCTGTTGCCGCTCCGTGTCTGCTGGTGCGTCCCAAATCCGTTTGCCTTTGCCCTTCAGCACTGCATCTACTACGGCATATGTGTTGATACGTCTATCTAGATTGGCATAAATTGAGAAAAATCATGCCGGATATAAAATTTTAAGCTTCCAGTAAAAAAAAAGATACATACTAGGCGGCGATCCTGGTAACCTACCCAAAGAAATAAACAAACTAGAAAAATCATCTTGGGAAAAGATGAACGAAAAATGAAAATAATTTGGAAATTGATGTTAAATACTCCCTCCGTCACATAATATCAGAGTGTTTTCCACACCGCAATAGTGTCAGAAATGCTCTTATATTTTGTGAACGGAGGGAGTACTTTATGTCTCTACATAAACAACAATGACCCTCAAGAAAAAAGAAACAACAATGTAAACTACTGTACATATTTGAAAGTGTTGAGAATAAGCAGCTGAGCCCAGCCCGACCCCACTCGCGGCCCAGACCCACATCTGCGGAGACAGATCACATGGACCGACCCAAGGTGGCCTGCAACACCCAGAGGCTAGAGCTCGACCCCACTCCCAGCCACAGAGGGCACTCACGCCACCGCCCCAACCGAAGCCCGGCTGGCCGCGCCACCGCCCCCATTGCCGCCAGCGAATACCACCTCTCATCCTCGACCTCGCCCCAGACAACCCACCGCCATCATCCAGCCAGGCCTGCCCCTGAGCCACCCCACCCACATCACCGCCGGACCACCGCATTGCCGGCCGGCCGTCCTGATCGCGCCTACACTCCACAGGTAACCTACATACAAATCAGAGAGAGCCTTGGCCTTCTTACCATTTCCATTTTTTCTTTCGATCGGCAAACAACGGTGTTCCTACTTGCTAGTAGCCTAGCACACACCCTTCCTATGTAACTGAAACCCACAAGATGACAAGACGGCCACAAGAAACCCTCGACATTTACAGGCTCGCGTGCCCTGCACCCTTTCCCCTCCTGATTCCGGGCAGTTTTCCACTAGACGCCATGGCCAAGAGCAAGAATGTCTCCTCAGTTTCAGATCGGAGCCGCGCACGCGCCCCGTGCCCGGCCGTTGGGTGCCATCGTTTGTTGCAGTCTTGCAGAGCCACGCGACGCTCCTGAAATGAAAGCGACGACTCATGTGGCGCGGTTTCAGTCAGAAGCCCTGCTGCCATTTCCTCGAGTTGCTTGCTGCGAGGGGCCGGCGATGGGGAGGAAACCTTAGCATCTTGTGCGGATTCTGCGGGCGGTTCGTTTTCGGCTCGGAAAGTTCGTTGGCGGCCTTGCGCGCTTGTGGCTGATCATCAGAAAGAGATGCGTTTACTTGCAAAAAGTATGGGGGGAAAGGTTAACGGGAAGACTTGCGGGTCTTATCATTTTTGGTGATGGTGACCGTGAGAGCAAGGCTACCATCACACGACGGCCGTATTCCCGGGGCACAAAAGCAATAGTAACAATCACTTGCACTATATGAAGAAAATTGTAATGATCCGTCCGAAATCCGAATTTGTGCTTCTTTGGGTAGACAGTGATTAGACTCAGCCCCTGACAGAGAAAATGATGCAAGGCCCCTATCTATCCCAAGGGTTTTGGCATAATCCCCAACAATCCAAACAAGCCTTAAATGTGATTATGACAAGCAAATCAATCACACCCTATCGTTCCACCGATGATTCTCGACGGTGATTTTGCCGAGTTGAAGCTAATTTCTAGTGCTGAGGCTGAGGTCTGAGGTGAAACTGGTACTAGAAAATTCAGAGTTCGTCGCATATGCCCTGCGTGAATTGGCATAGTTTCTTACAAATAACAAAAGATCATTGCCTACATCCTGCTGAATCGCCACAAGTTTATGCTAACCGGCAATCTTTGCCTGAAGATCATATCAATTTCCTACAGTAGGCGTGTCTGAATGCTGTTTCCATTACCCTGCTTTGCAACACGTAGTGTCAGTCTGTCACCCACGCCAGGGTTACCAGCAGACCTGGGAAGATTCTGCCGTTCGTCTCTGGAATCCTCTGCCCAACATTGCCATACTCGTCGGCGAAATGCTGAGCGCCACAAGCGTGTAGATCCATTTCCTTTGACATCTTGCACATACACACACATCGGCGTCGAGTTGCGCTGTTGCCCATGTACACTTGCCTTATGACTTTATGAGCCAGTCCAGCACCAACACGCCGTGATCATTTTGTCCTGAAGCTGGCAGAAACTTGGTATATATACCCTATGTGGTTCAGCGAGACAGGCAGGCAGGCAGCTGGTTTTGGCTTCAGTTCCAGTAGCACCCAGCTGAAGAATAAGTGAATAACCGAGCTACTGACGATAGATAAGATAACGTCAGGTTAATAACGTGCGATTCGGTGGTTCAGTTACTGTGTTTCCATCGTTTTTCTGATTGATATGCTTCACCTCTCCTTGCAGATTTCGCGAGGTTGATGGAGACGGACGAATCTGCGCGGCAGTGGGCCGCCGGTGCTCGCGTCCCGGCCAGCCGATCCACCGTGGAGCGGAGCTTCAAGGTAAGTCGCCCGTGCCATCGATCATGCAATGCCGACTTGATCATTGAACCACGAGGTTGAGCAGTGTCGTGCCGGTGTAGGAGCGTCATGGCGATGGCGACCCGATGATGGCGTCTCCGGGCCAGGACTCGCCGTTCGACGCGTCCGCGCTGCGCGTCGCGGCGCACCCGGTCTCCGTCAGCCTGCCGGCCTCTCCGTCCAGGTTCGACGTCGCCCGGACGGAGGCGGAGTTCCCGCCCAGGCACCCCGAGGCCATCGTGCCGGACGCGTCGCGCATGCTGTCGCTCCCGCCGCGGCCGACGCCGATGGTGTCCGTCGTGTTCGAGCATCTCGAGGAGGTGATGTTCCGCTCGCAGCCGATCCACGCGGCGGCCTCCGAGTTGCCCGACGCCCAGGACTCCCAGTCCCAGGTGCTGCACGACGACTCGATGAGCCGCGGGAGCGGGGCGCGCATGGGGAGGAGCAAGGCGCGCAGGGACACGAGCTACGACCCGTTCAAGACGTGGTCCGGGAAGCTGGAGAAGCAGCTCACCACCCACCTCCGCGTCGTCAGGCAGCCGCTGCAGCAGGAGGCGGAGCCCGAGGAAGACGAAGACGAAGACGCGGCGACGAGCGGCCGCCCCTACTCCACGCCCAGAGTCCACCGCTTCTTCGCCGCGCTGGAAGGCCCCGAACTCGACAAGCTCCGGGTACACCACGAGCAACTCCTTGCATGTCTAAACGCATTGATGATGAAGCAGGGGACCTCACGTGCTGTCGTGTTTTCCGTGCCGCGTCGCCGTCGCCAGTCGTCGGAGGAGCTGGTGTTGCCGTCGGACAAGAATTGGCCGTTCCTCCTCCGGTTCCCGGTGTCCGCCTTCGGCATGTGCCTGGGCATGAGCAGCCAGGCCATCCTGTGGAAGAACATCGCCATCTCGGCGTCCACGCGGTTCCTGCACATCACGCTCCGGACAAACCTCGTGCTCTGGTGCGTTTCGGTGGCGCTCATGTGCTTCGTGTCGGCGCTGTACGCGTGCAAGGTCATCTTCTACTTCGAGGCGGTGCGGCGGGAGTACTACCACCCGATCCGCGTCAACTTCTTCTTCGCGCCGTGGATCGCCTGCCTCTTCCTGGCCATCGGCGTGCCGGAGCTGGTGGCGGAGAGCCTGCCGCACTGGCTCTGGTACGTGCTCATGGCGCCCATCGTGTCCCTGGAGATCAAGATATACGGGCAGTGGATCTCCGGCGGGCAGAGGCGGCTGTCGAGGGTGGCGAACCCGTCGAACCACCTGTCCATCGTCGGCAACTTCGTGGGCGCGCTGCTGGGGGCCATCATGGGGTTGAGGGAGGGCCCCATCTTCTTCTTTGCCGTCGGGCTCGCGCACTACATCGTGCTGTTCGTGACGCTGTACCAGAGGCTGCCCACCAGCGAGACGCTGCCGCGGGACCTCCACCCGGTCTTCTTCCTCTTCGTGGCCGCGCCCAGCGTCGCCTGCCTCGCCTGGGCGCGGATCACCGGCGAGTTCGGCTACAGCTCCCGCATCGCCTACTTCATCGCCATGTTCCTCTACACCTCGCTGGTGAGCACCTCGATCGACCTCCATGTCGCATGGCGAGTCTCGATCAGTGTGGATAACCGAGTGCTGTTGAGTGGGTGCAGGCTGTGCGGATCAACATGTTCAGGGGGTTCAGGTTCTCGCTGGCGTGGTGGGCGTACACGTTCCCGATGACGAGCGCGGCGATCGCGTCGATACGCTACTCGTCGGAGGTGAAGAACGCGTTCACTCAGGCCATGTGCATCGTGCTGTCCGTGGTGGCCACGCTCACGGTGACCGCGCTCTTGCTGACCACGCTGCTGCACGCGGCCGTGCACCACGACCTCTTCCCCAACGACATCTCCATCGCCATCTCGGAGCGCAGGCCCAAGCAGAGCACCATCGCCGAGCTGAACGAGGTGCACGGCAACAAGGACGCCGACACCACATTCAGAGACCTCGAAGCCGCCTATAGACCCTGATCGACGCCGAGACTGAACTAGCGACGCCTTCTTCATTGCATGTGGCGAGGCGAAACAAACTGGTGGCAGACTGGTCGATCGTGGACAGTGAGCAGGAGCATGTACGTAGCCGGGACGTGTGTTCGAGAATTTTCTTTGGGTCGAGTTGACTGCCGTGCGGTGCGGGGCAGTGTGCGCCGCGGTCGGAATCAACACGGTGATCGATGGTAGTATATGCTGTAGTAATTTCCGCGTGGTGGTGTGTAGGTAGGACTTAGTAGGAGAGATGCTGTTACTTATGGCTTAACCGTGATACAGTATGTGATACGGCTGTACAATAAATCCGTCTCTGTATCTGTATGTGGTACATTACTGACCACCGAGGAAGATCGTGACCGGGCGCTCGTCCCCATTCGTCCTAGCATCACCCTTTGCGAAGCATGTCAGTATGCCACGCTCTTTTCCCCGTACAAGTTATTGAAAATTTGAGCAAATTTTCCTTAAGTTTAATCTAGAAAAACAACAGATAAAACATCACTTTAGCTACACTGAAGACGCCTGGAAATTAATTTCGGGTCAGTCGATTTTTTTTGGCCATTGATTATTTGCTTTGAGATTCATATTGTACTATGAGCTGGCTTAGATTTTGTTTTTTGACTGACCATATATTTGGGCCAGTCAACTTGCTACTCGGCCGAAGCCCACGTATGCCGCCCGGCCCTCGCCTCTGCCCCTTTGTTTTTCTTTAAAAGAAATCTGCCTTTATGTGTTTCTTCTTTTGTTTTTTGTTTTTGCTGGAAAATTGTTTGTTTTTTTGTTATTCTTCATCAGTTGGATTTTATTCTCTTCTTCTGTAGATATTTTTGGGTGTTGGGTGAGTGTAAATGAATACATACATATACTATACAATATGTGCGAAAATTACACTGTGATATGACTGTTGTTTGTATACTACAACAAGTGCAATTTTAGTGTAAAGTTGTGTGCAAGTTTTTACCCTTTTCATTATCATTCTCCTTAAAGAGGAATACCAATGCCACTAATTCATCCTTCTTGTAAAACTTCATTATTTTGATTTTGATTTATTTATTACTCCATTTTATTTCTTCATTAAGTGTAATATCGATGTAATTGATTCATTCCTTCCTAAGAATGTTTTTGTGTAAATTTCAATATCATATGCTTATTCTTACGTATTAAAACGCAAATTTCTGTGTATATTGTGTGCAATTTTTTCCTTGTTTGTTTTAGATATTTTTACATTTTCTTTTTCTTAAAGGGTAATACGAGTGCCACCAATTCATTCTTTTTTAAAAAATCTCATTGTTTTGATTTTGTTTTAGTTTGTTTTCATCTTCTTTCTTCTTACTAGTTGTGTCTCACTACCCAGTTCTGCCACTAGAAGTTACAACTACTCAAAAATGCCATCGATACGTGAGATACTTGCTAAAAAATGCCATTAGATATCTCAAAAATGTCATCGCTCCGTTAGATGTTTGATCAAAAATGCCATTAGACATTGTTATTTTCACTTCAAAACCGTTGACCATGTTATATGACAAAAATAAGCCTAGACCCACATGTCAGTTCTTTCTATCTCACAATGATAAGTGTGGCCGCACTTGTTAGGAGTAACCAAGCGAATAATTTTACAGAAAAATTAAAACACTGTTGTGATCAAGTAGGCCCCATACTTTATTGTAGTGAGATAGAGGGAGAGCTGGCATGTTGGTCCATAGGTATTTATATCATTGTAACATGGCAAAAGAGATTTGAGATCACAATATGGTGTCTAGTGGCATTTTTGAGCATGTGTCTAACGAAGCGATGCCATTTTTGAGCGGTTTAAATTTCTAGTGGCAAAATTGAAGTGGGACACAACCGGTGGCATAAATGATAAAAATCCTAATATTAAAGCCACAAATTCATTCTTTCCTAGAAAACTTCATTATTTTGATTTTGTTTTTAGTTTTCATTTCTTTGTGTTTTTCTTGAACGGTAATACAATGCGACTAATTCATTCTTCCTACGAAACTTCATTATTTTCATTTCATTTTAGTTTTTGTTTCAATTTTGTGTGCTTTAATGGTAATACGAATGCCTTTGATTCATTCGTTCTTAGGAAAATTCTTTTTTATGATAAATCCACTATTATATGCTTATTTTTTGCATATTATAGAAAAGTGCAATTTATATGTAAATTGTGTGCAAACTTTGTCATTATTTTTTTCATTTCCTTTTTCTTAAAGGTGTATACAAATGCCGTCAATTTATTCTTTCTCAGAAAACTTCATTATTTTGAATTTTTTAGTTTTTATTTTATTTTCTTCTTCTTTAAGGGTATCAACAATGTCGGTGATTCATTCGTTCTTAGGAAACTTCCTTTTATGAAAATCCCACCATTATATGCTTGTCTTTCATATTATGGAAAGCACAACTTTTTTTTAAATTATGTGTAAATTTTGTTATTAATTTTTCTTTTTTAAAGGGTAATACCAATGCCATAAATTTACTTTTTTCTTAGAAAATTTATTTTTTTCGTTTGCACTTTAATTTTTTTTACTTTAGTAATCCCTTCATCTGGAAATACTTGTCAAAGAAATTGATAAAAATGATTGTATCTAAAACTAAAATACATTTAGATACATCTATTTCTTCGACAAGTATTTCCAGGCGGAGGGAGTATATTATTGTAAGGGATGAGAATGCTAGAGAAAGTAGAAGTTTTTATGCTGTACTCCCTCCGTTCTAAAATAAGTGATTCAAGTTTGTACTAAAGTAGTTAGTACAAACTTGAGTCACTTATTTTAGGACGGAGGGAGTATTATGTTACACATAGGTGTATGTATTATTTTTATTTTTAAAAAAATTGTTTGTTTAATTTAGGATTAAGAGTGTGACTACATACGAACACGTGATTGGTCATTAGCACTAAGATAGAAGTGATGTCGCTCTGGGAGCATTAAGTACAGAGCTCTCATCAAGCCCCATGCAATGCATATGGCCTGCCCACCTATGAACACCTGCGTGTTGGGGAAAAGGGTTCGAGAGGAAAACCACAACACGCACGTCCTGCTTGGTGAGCTGCGCGGCCTCCGTTGCAAAAAGAATAAAAATGACTGACAAGTTTAAAATCAGTCACCTGACCACTAGCCGCTCCCATAAAACATAACAGTCATAGTAGAGTAATCAAATCAAGCACGTGATGTAAATAGTCATGCAATAGGGTACATAGCAGATGAACATCATATGGACATCGATGGGTAAAATTAGTAGACCGGGCACAATGCCTAACAGAAGCGAGCAGAAGACATACAGTGCGGTGAAAGAAGATACAAGTGTTGTCCTAAAAAAATAGATGACGGTGTGCCGTTCGTCATGTCACGGAGGAGGTGATCAACGCTGGGAAAGAAGCAATCGTGCTCAGCTACGATGGAGGAAGATCCAATAGTCGTCCTAGAGCATTCTCCGAAAACTTGATTGTCTTTCTCCCGTACGTGATGACATGAGACCTAATTTCGAAAGACTGATGCCTCATTTCTTGCCAAAAATAAAGACACATTGGAGATGAAGTGTGTCTTGTCCGGAAAGAGGAGTAACCTCTTATAGGTGAGTTTACTAGTAGGCCAAGCATTTCAGTTTCTTTCTTCTGTGACAAAAATAAAGGCAACGCGTACATGTGGCATAGGTCCTAGCTCACCTTGATCACGAAACACGACTAGCGTGTGAGGTGTGGCGAAGTGTGGCAGACGAGGAGGGCGCATGCATGTGTTCTCCTCTCAAACTCTTACCTTATATGTTGGTCTTCCGCATCCTCCACTAACGTGATGAGACTATATTTGTTCCACTCCCCTTGCCATGCATGAATGGGCCACATGGCATGTGAGATCTTTCCTAGAAAGTATTATAAATAATAATGTGTAAAACCAGAGACACCTGGAGTTTATCTATGGTTTAAAACATGTTTATATATTGGTGTACTAGTGGAGACTGTTAAGTTAAATTTTCATCTGAAACTCGATGCTACACTCATTTACAACATGAACGGTGCACTACACCTTGAGCTACAAATTTTGTGCAGAAAAGTTGCACGTAAATCCTTAACTGATACTAGGCCATTGAAAAGCTTCCCCTCGTGCAGGAGCATATACATCATAATCTAGGGCCTCTTCATGAGTTTATTAGAGAGCATCCATCTCTAATAAAGCACATTACGCTGTGTTTGGATGTCTTCATTGAAGCGCAAGAAATGAAATTGGTAATCAGCTGACCTCAATACGGATGTTTGGCAGTACAACAGATTCGTATTGGAAACACTAGGTCAATTCCAAGCCGTTTTGCATCCCACGTAAAGTTCCATCCCTTGATTCGAAGAGCTCTTGCTCCGATTTCCACTGAATTGCCCATCTCTTGTAAAACTTACCCCTTCAAGCTCAGCACCAGTGACAAAAAAGAAGGAAAGAAGGGAGACGAGTATATTTCCCATGCAGCTAGATTGGAATTAATTAGATCTGTTTTCTCTTCCATTCCAGTTTATTACATGTCTAACATATTGTTTACCAAGAAGTTCATTGCTAAACTTAGCGCTATCATTAGAACTTTTTGGTGGACAGGAATTAAAGAAGACAATTCATCAAGAGGTCTTTGCCTTCGAGCTTGGAAGGATATCTGCACATCTAAGCAAGAAGGGGTCTAGGTATTAGAAACCTTCAAGCTATGAATCAAGGTTTAATTTTGGCTTCGGCTTGGAGAATTGAAAATTCCCCAAATTCTCAATTGCATCTTGTTGTCAAATCCAAGTACTTTTCGGACTCCTCTTTCTGGACTGCCACTTCCAATACCCCTAAATCTGCCTTTTTGGTCCTCTGTTATCAAGTTGTTCCCTAAATTAAAAGCACACTCTTTTTATCACATCACACAAGGAAACATTTCCATATGGAGTACCCCCTTGTGTTCAGCCTGGTCTGATATTCATGATCATCTCATCATCCAACCTAACAATTTCACTTACCCTGCTAAAG